TTGATGCTGTATGCTGTGCATCGCCATACTGCTGACTGCACTCAATGTTTGCACGCGGCCGGCCAGAGTGCTTGAGGTCATTTTCCTCACTGCCTGAAGGTGTGCATTTGCCTTTCAGGATGGCAGGACGCCCCTGCATCAGGCTTCAAAGTATGGGCACACGGCCACTGCACAGTTCCTCCTGGAGAAAGGCGCATCTGTCACTGCGGCTGATAATGTAGGTCACTACTCAGGTTTGTTTTGTCATGCAGCCTTGTCTGTGGAATGGTTTTAAAGACAGGTGTGGCCAGCAGTAATAGGTCGAACTTCGCGAATGGTTCAGTTCACTGCAGCCTTTTGGTGTTCAACGCTTTTCCAGAGGAACAATTTTCATATCCTGGATATTGCCATATCCCAGAATCCGGTTTCCCATATCCCAATTCATGGCCACATCCTCGCCTGTATGTTCACCATGTTGCAGCACATGGGCTCCTGGATGTGGAGCATTCGTATCCAGGCTGAGACTATTTCCTTTCTATGCCTATCCGGGTTTGGCACCAATGCCGTAATCAATACCCAGGAAAGGGGGGGGCCCATGTTGCACTCATGTCCGAAATATTGCCAACTTTTGCCGACTTGCAGATTGACATGCTGTAGTTACACAGAAGTGTCCATGATGGACAACACCTCATTGGGAAAATCTGCAGCTGGATCAGTAAAATTCCATTTCCTGGATATCGAAAATCTTGAATGGCTCATATCATTGTGACTATTGGGTTGCACAACTGGCTACTTGTGGTGAATCACGTCCACACACCAATTCCCCAGAGCAGACTCCAATCCTGAGTCCAAGGCACAATCAGAGTATGCCTATGCACCCCAGTGATTTGAGCAACTGTCTGTGCCTCAAGAAAACGATGCCTCCCTGCCTGAAACCTCTTATCTGTGCATCTTCTCCTCTCTGAGTTCCACAGAAACAAGCACCTTTCCCTTAAATCCTACTATCTCACGAGCCAGGTCAGCGACGTGGGCTTGGTATCCAGGCATTAATGATCCCAGTACGATCCCACAGAAAACCTTCAATGTCCAGCGAGCAAGCTGCTCACTGCTTCAGCTATGAATCTGGCAGTTCTTCTGACCCCATGCTGTGTGTCGACAGCATGCTCATACGCAGCAAGGTAGAAAGGCTCTGAAAGCATTTCTATTAGGAAGTTCCTAACTACCGCAGATCACAAGGATAGCGCGGGGGGTGTTTAACAGCGTGGGGGCCTTCAGGTAACCCCCCCAGGTTATCAAACATGGCTGGTGTTGCAGAGCGCAGGGTTACGCAAGATTGCGTGGAGGGGGACCATTCACTTCAACATCGCAACAATGCAAAAACGTTCTCACACATTCGTAAATCTCATTTCATGTGCGATCACCCCAATGTTATCAAGTCCACTCCAAGTGCCATGTCATTCTTCCTCAATCAAACACCATGGCACCACTACCCAAGGAGAACTCGAAACGGTTGTTCAGGAAGGACTAACTTCCTTTGTTGCTTCGGAGTATGGTCCCTGCTTTCCACAAGGCTCTCTGCTTCCCTCACTATCGGTCGTCATGTGGCTATGGCTACCATAGTCGGACATTGTCGTTCACGGTCTCACTGACACAGGGATGGCACAACACAGTGCAGTGCAACGTCCTATTAGCTGTTGTTCGTTGCTTTTGGTTGGGGCTGTGATTGGCGCCTTATGTAATGTTGTATAATGCACTACATGAACCAGGCAAGGTTCGCTTTGCCAGTCAATCTGCATGGGGAGCACAGGGAGCGCAGCGTAGTTGCAGCAATCTATGGCGCCTGTCACCGTTTTTGGCATCGATTTTGGTTGCTGCCATGGATGGTGCCTTATGTAACGTGATAAATTGGCTGGGGTAATAATTGGCTGGGTTGGCGAGCCAGCACGACAACGCGGTAACGTACTGCAAGTTTGCGGTATGTGGTGTAATTGACAAGTCTAATTTGGCCTGGCGTGATACACAATACGACTGATATGGCAACACAGCTGTCCAGACAACATCCGTTTACTTGTGCACTGATACAAACTGGCTGAGGTCAGACAGCCTGAATGATGCAAATTTGTTTCCGCTCTTATTGTCTTGTGCAACTTGCAGCATGGTTGCACAGCCCTTTCAAAGGCATCTTTGATGGGCTGCAACGCCATAGTGGAGTTGCTGCTTAGCCGTGGTGCACAAGTGGACAGTGTTGACAAGGTGAGCTTCTCATACAGATTGGCGTACCTGCAGTATCCAGCTCAGGCTGGAACATGGGTGCTCAGAAGCAGGCGCCTAGTCCTTGTGGTCATCTTTCCTCAACACCTTTAATTGCTTATTTCGTTGTGGGTGTTTCTGCTTGAGAGTGCAACTGCTATTGCATAGGACCCACTTGTCTCTGCCTTTGCATGCGTCTGATGCCCTGAGATCGGAACGGCACCATGTTAAAAGTGCATTGATATCCTGCCAATCGGGATTACTGTTTTGTGCGAACAGAAATTAGCTGCACCTTTGTGCCAGTCCTGCGTATTGATCTTCTGGTGTGTGACGAACTGCACAGGATGGTGACACGCCCCTGTCAGGGGCAATATTTCAAGGGCATCCAAGCACCGTGGAGCTGTTGCTGAAGGGTGGTGCAACCATGGACAGACAAAACGAGGTAGGATTGTCTTTTGCTATGGTATTATAAACCTAACACAGTGCTCCATATCCACTATGGTGAAAGAATTCTGCATTCAAATGATAATGGTAATGCGGGCATGTGGGCTCGGGTCTGTTGTGTTCATCGAACCTCCACTGAGTGATACAAGTGGCAACCTGATTGCAAATGCATTGGTGTGGTTTGCGGTTGAGTTGATTGCATTGTAGGCCTCCTCATGTGTTGATTCCTCTGCAGGTGTGGCATTTCCTTGCGCCTGCTATTTGGACGGACCACCCTTCCACACCCTCAGCACGAAATGTTGCCATCAGCACTGAGGGTGTTGCCATCGAATCGGCGCCTCCCCTATGCATGAGAAACCTGCAGTTTAGGTTGGACTGACCATTTGTCAACCGCGTGGATATGACGAGTTGGTGGTTATCCACTCGTCAACTACCTTTGACATCTGTGACAAACTCCAGGCGTTGTGTGTTGCAAAGCATTGCAAATGGTTTGATGTGCTGGATGCGCAGGCAGGAGAAACGCCTCTTTTGGGTATTTGGCAGAAGATATGGCACCGGAAGACTGATGAACAAACTGCTGCAGAAATTGTTAAGATTATGTTGGACCGTGGTGCAGCCGTGGATCTGCCAAACAAGGTGAGAAAATTGTTGAGTGCTGTACAATGTGTTGCAAACTGCCAACATCGCATCAAATGAGAGTGCATATCGCATATCCTATTTCACGGTCAAAATACACATGCAGAAAGCCGACGTTGTTGGGATGCACTTGCCATGACGGTTGATTGACGGATCCTCTCCCCACGCAATGTAATGCTCACAACGCGGTTACAAACAAATGACGCTCGTTCCAAAGCTGTTTCGAGCCATGTCGTCATGCTGGATCACCTACTGCGAGTCTGTGGCTGTTGGGTAAACACACAGTGCATAGCCTTTCGCACGGTCAAAATGCGCATGCAGAGTTCGACGCAATCAGCAGCTGTTGCTTTTTCGTCAGCCTCCAAGGGCGTCGAGGCTGTGTGGCATGTTGTGGAGCGAAAAACAAGCTGGTTGGGCTGAGTAGCGTGCATGCCGAATCCTGCCTAATCATCTCATGGGATTGCTTGCTGATCTGGTAAACACAGAGTGCCCACTGTTTCTTACCTGGAATTACAGAGGTCCTCCATCAGTTTACAAGGGGGCCCTGCCTGTCTTTCTCACGGGCCTGATTTTCCGTATAAAGACGCACATTGCTGGCTTTGCTTTGCAGCTCATCACATGTGCATGATATAGCCGCGTTGCTCCTTGGCCTGGATGTAGCACAGTGCGTGTTTGCTGCTACTTCAAATGCCACACACATGCATGCATGCGCACACTCTGCTGCCCTGCATTGCCGAACGTAGATTGACTGCCAAACTGACAAGGCACACTCTGCAGGCTCACAGCAAAAATTATACACAATCGTACACCTGACAAACGAATATGCGGAACACAGGTATTATTCCTTGCTTCTTTTCTGATGGTGCAGCCTAGGAATTCAAATGATTCAGGTTTTTGCAGTGACTCAGAAATGCTGGGCTCTTATTCCTGGCAGCTGCAGTGAGAAAGCAGCACTGCTTGCAAGAAAGCCCGAGCTGTGAGTAATGAAGCAGCTCCTCCCAGCTTTCTTGGATGGTGGCCTCTATCCTGTGCTGGATCTCGTCATCCCACAAAACGAGATCAGCAACTGAGTTTTGTTGCTGTTTAGCAGAAAACTAGTCCGTTCCTGTGGTCCCACCGGCGTCAATGCCTAGCGAAGAACTGAGCAACCTCTTGAACAACTTTTTGCAAAGTGCAGTTTTAGCACATCCAAAGTCGACAAACTGCCATGATGCTGAACGGCTTAACTTTCCAAGGCACGCCAATGCACAACAAACTTTCTATGGGCTTCGAATGCACCTTTGCACACTCTCTTGAGCGCTAAAAGTTATTTGTGAGTACACACAAGTGGTTGCCCGACCTACCTTCTTGCATGGCGCCGAGTGTAGGCAAGCAACGCCCAGACTACTGATATGACTGCCACGTATAACCGAGACAGCCTTGTCGCTAAAATGGCCAGAACATACATGGCATGCATTGGTTTTCCAATAACTCAACATGTACAAAGGAGGCAAATGAGGAATAGCATTGCTGGCAAGCCACGCAAGCTAAGGAAATCGGGTGCCAATGACATTCGCAAGGAGATGTATGATGGGGGTGTTGGGTCTTTTTGCATTGTGTGCTTCCGTTGCTGTGCCTTGGCATCCAAACACAGCCCATTGTATAGTGGCTTTTATGGCAACTTTGAAACGTGCCATGACGGTGTGCGTTGGTTTGCAGAATGGCATGACTCCGCTGATGGCGGCAGCAAGGGATGGCCACACAGCAGCTGCAAAACTGCTGCTGAGCAGAGGGGGTTCGGTGACGTCGACCGACAAGGTGACATTTCAGTCGCAACGGCTTGAATGTGGCATTGTATGCGCAGATGTTGCTAACACTTACTGGGAGGAAATGCAACCTGATTTGTGTGCCAAATGTGCAGCAAACTTTCCACCTCTAAGAGGGTCCTCAGCTGTGCTTGGCTCTTTGTTGTTGAACATCTGAATTCAATCGTTAGAAAGTACACAATCACCTGCATTCGGACGCTCAACACCAAATAGGCATTCCATGCATCCAGAAATTTTTTGGCACGTTGCAGATCCCAGGCCAATGGGTGCAGGCACCCCTGCCAACCCGCTCCTTTTTCGCGTATGAAAGCAATGCAAGCCCGCAGATGTAGATCACAAAAAATGGTCATTTGACACCCCTTCATCTGTTTGACCTCTTCGCTGTGCAGCCATCATAACTGCTTGATGGGCGTTCGTTGTGTTCAGGACGGAAGATCAGCGGCACAATATGCCAGCGCCGAGGGTCATCATGAACTGGCAAAGAGGCTGGGCGTCACTGAATGAGACAGAGACTTGCTGGAATGATCACAATGCGCAAAGCATAGATATGCTAGAATGGAAGCTGCATCTGTTGGTTGTACAGTAAGGTGGAACAACAATTGTATTGCAATGGTTGGGTCCAATCGTCTCACTAGCGAATCTTGGACGTTGCTTCATCCAAAGATATCCGTTTGGCCCGCCTCTCGTGCTCTGAAGGGCGGTCCTTGCTAATGAGCCTGCACCGCGGCAGAAGAAATGCTGTGGCAGTTAGGACGTGCAGATTCAGCAGCTCCTCATGGACTGCTTGGTCAAAAAAGAATGGAGGTGCAGGGTCCAAGGGATGATCTGCTGGCATCTGCACGCTAGCACTTGGGGTGTCTTGTAGAGTGGGAAGTTGTGTAACTTGGAAGTCCATGGTGCGCCCGCCCGCTGAGTCCCCATCATCACCGCCGCTCATTCCGTTGCCGCTTCTGGCCATCTGCGCCCTGGACACTGCAGTCGAAAGCATGGCCGTGGTGCTCCACTTGTTTAACATACCGTATTTACCCGATATTAGTAGGCACCCCCTGTTAGTATCCACCCCCCTCTTGGGGGTCGAAACCACGTTAGTACCCATGACACGGTGTCAGTATCCACCCCAAAATCTCATCAGAAACGAGCTCGAGAGGGCTCGTTGAATTCGCCTTTGGGAGAGAAAGCTAGTTTTCATTTCTTTGTTTGCACAACACTCTTGTTGCACGACCTCAACGTGCAAAAACTGCCAAAAACTGCTCATCCTGTGGTGCGATGCATGTGGTCGCTGCAAGCCTCACAGCTGGAGCAGCTGGTCTGATGGGAAAGACTTCTAATTGCTTGTCGAGGCCACGCGTCTATGGCACAGTTGCTGGCCTAGACTTGCCAGCAGACCTGGCGGCACTGCTTGTTTATGCAACAATTCTCACCCAGGCGCTCGCCTCTGGCAGTCACACTGGATCCCGCGGCACCCCGTTGCGCAACAACTATTGTAAAGTGCATCCAACCACTTCAACTACGCGCAGCGTAGCTTGTCAGCCACATGCGCACGTGCCTGCCATGCGCCATGGGGTCTCCTTCGAACTTTCTTGGCCGTTGGGGGAACAGATGGTTGTTGTTGGCAGCGCCGGGCCGCGCCTGGTGACATACATGCCACTTGAACAGCCGTCACCCCAGGCGCTTCTCACAACCATGTTCCACACACCCTCCGCCAGGCTCGCCCAAGCTTGCCTTTAGCTTGACCGGAGGTGCTCCAATCGGGCCACACGGTAGGGCCGCCGTCCACCTGAATATGCTGGCACTCCTGTCCAAATTGCTCATGGACGGGGAAGTTGTTGATGAGGATTTTGAAGGCTTTGCATCAGATATGGATGTGGACAGCGATTGATCGTGAATGCGTTTCTGTGTTTCTGTTTGGGATTTTGTGGTGGCAACAGCATCGTCGCTTACAATATGGAGTTGTCAATAATGTGGTGTCTGTGATTTTATAATTTTGATTGGGTGATGTCGCTACCTATGCATCGCATCTTGCATTGTTTCAAATGCTCCTTTCAGCATTTCAATGGCTATTTTAATTTTTTTCTCTGTGAAATCCTTGGATCAGGGGGTCTAAGCCTCGTATAAGCATCTTTATCGGTGGGTGCTATTGTCCCGGCGGAGCTCTTCGGCTATCCGAATAGCACCGCATGTCAAAAAAACGTCATTAACGGTTGGGGAGCAATAGCACCCCAATAGCACCCCCATAGCTATTCAGCACCGAGCGGTGCTATTTTGGCCCCGAATAGCACCGCTCGGGGCCAAATAGCACCCCATAATAGCGCCAGTGCTATTCACGCAGAACATTGTAGTGCTGCAGTGATGCTATTCGGCGTAGGCATAGCACCCACCATTGTGGGTGCGCGCAGGGGAGCAATAGCACTTGTGCTATTCGGCAAATGCCAGCTTAGTAAGGTGGCACGGCAGCCAATGAGAACGGTTCCTGGATAGCTCCGCCAGTGCAATAGCACCGACCGATGCTGTAAGTATCCATGACCAACTATTAGTATCCACTGCCCATTTTGAGGGT